ATAGAGAAGAAAGAAAAAAGATACAAAGAAGTGGTTTCCAATCTTCTTTACAGCAGTTATAAGTACAATTATAAATTTACCACTTTCTCTAAAGTTACAACATGTCTCTCTTCTTTCTATAATCTATCCTGTCTAATCATCAAGACCATAAAACATAAGTTCATTTTTTTTCTGTTTTCTGAAAAAAGCCCATAAGGGGTTTCCAGTCAACAGTAAACATAGATATTGTCTTTTCTCTGATCAATAGAAGTCTTATTTTAATATATGAATATGCAACCTGACCCAAGGCTGAAAGCAACCCCTGGAAGCTGTTAGTATGGCCTTGCAGCCCCTCTACTACTCAGCTATAGTTTTGCATGTGACAGAAGAGGGAACATTATTAAATATGTGGGATGTGTTCATATTAACTGGATTTCACACTTACATGAAATCTGCATTAAAATGAAAGTTACATTCAGTTGAATTTAGATTTTGTTCTGGTGCTACTCACCCAGACCTACTTTGTGGAGAATGCCCCAACTGCCACTTAAGGACTAAGTACTCCCTCTCCCAGTTGGCATGACTGCCCTAGAACCACATACTGCTCTTGATTAAGGGGCACAATTCCTTTGCAAGTAATCAATCCAAACGTTTTGCAGGCATGACCTTTTCACTATAGCAGCCTGTTTTGTAAGGTGTAAAGCGAGGGAGGGTGAGAGAGAGAGAGAAGAAAATAGGTTGCAGGAAAAGAAAAGGGCTCAGAAAGCTAGTTGGGGGCCTTTGCCCATTTTTGGCTCTAATCCCATCCTGACCAAAAAAAGTGTTGCTTACCCAAGTTTTATCAGTGAAGTTTCATCAAAGACTCCCCATCGTTATCAGATCATCATTTTAGAATCCGCTGCCTCTGTTGAGTCTCTGCCTTCTGATCTTGTAGGTGCCAATCCAGGAAGCTCTCCTGTTCCATTCTGATGACGAGTTGAGTGGCTTGGCTACAAAAAATTTTATGAGTATGTAATGGTCCATTAGTCAATGAGTGGGAAGTGATGGGTAGTCTATTGCAAGAGCACTAATTAAACTTTTATTTATTTAGCTATGGATTTAGGGAAGGAACTGAGAACATTTCTGCTTTTACTAGTTCTCTGAAAATCCACTATTAGCACAATACTTTTGCTAGGACAACTCCATATATGTTTGCCTTTGAGTTCTCCAAAACTTTTCCAGTTGGCAATACGGCAAATAAAAGAAGAATGATGGGGGCAGGAGAGAAAGCATTAGCAGTTAGTTGTCATTTTAAAATGAAATGTGGGAAGGGGATGCATTCAAATATTCGTAATAGACTTTCAGCTGATCATATGGGTTTTGGTTACGCATAGGCATTTCAAAAGCTGTTGAAATGACAAACATTTTTTTAGATGTTTTTTTAAATCTCCCCCTTTTTTTAGTTGCTTATTCTGAAGCAAGAATCAGGAATCATTTTAGACACCAGGCAGCACTGCAAGATCTTGGAGATGGTGCTTAGACCATTCCCCCTCCCACATTTTCTGATGATTTTCAAAGATCTAATGCAAGAACAGGGAAATCACATCATTTGGGTCTTTAGCTTTATTTTGCTGTATATAATTGGGAATGAACAGATATTCACAAGTATATTGCTAGTCTTTGCTTGGATCATCCTCCTTAGAAAAATCACACAGATTCATTGGGGGATGAAGAGCAGAACTAAAAAGAAACGTAGCAGTTTTATTTTCTAAGCTGAAGATAAATTTAGATGGTATTCTACTATTTGTGTTTGATGGTAATAATACTGGCCAAAACAGAAGTCCCTGAATCTCTAGTCTTAGGTGCCATAACCTTCTACTTTATTTTCCAGCTAAGATTAATGCTAATTCTTGTTTTGAAGCTCTGATGAGGTTGATGGGAGACCAGCCAGGCCTCAAGAAACAAAATGAGATGGATTATTTCTATGAAATCCTTCAGGTTTGTGGCTCTTGTGGTAGATTTGTATACATAACAATGACTCAAATGAGACCTGGAAGGGCATCACATTTCTGCTTAAGGGGCATTGTTGGCCTTGAAAGGAGGCCGATTTTGAGATGTTTACTCCCCTTTCTATTCCCTTTGGCAAACTCTGGGAACTCCCATCTTGAATTAAAAAAACAAATTATGCACAAAATAATTTAATTTATGCAAAATATCAGTCAAAGATATCAAGAGAGAGCAAGACATACAGCTGACGGTCAGGATGAAGTCCTGCTGAGAAAATGGGAAGAGGGAAGAGAAGCAAAAATGTTAGGAAAGGAAAGAAGTTAAACACCCCAAGTTCTCAAAAAGTCATTTCAAAATATGAGTTCTTATCACTAGTGTGATTATATGTACACTGGTCCACTTACTCCAAACTATGATAAGCTAGTTCTGTTGCTTTCAGACCTTTTTGCTAAAGTTGCTGAGAAGCATCTGAACTTCTGCTCTGAGTCCAGCAATAAATTCATTGTTGATTCTTTTTCTGTGGCACACAAAACTTGCCTCTTTGGCCTCCAAATTCTGTTTGCTAAAATAGTAATGTTGTCAGCCAGCACTGAAAAGGGGTAAGTGGAATAGGGAGTTCCACATTCTGGGTTCTGCATCAGAACCAAAGACTCTTTCATATATTCCCATCAACCACATTGCAGATTATCACAAGACAATGACCTCAGTGAAAGCTCAGGTTCCTATGGAAAGTGAAAGATAGCACTCCAACCTTGGGACCTCAGGGGAGGAAGGTGCAATTAGGGACCATTGGAGAAAGATGACTTCTCATTAATATTCCAGTGTTTCTCAGATGGGGGATAAACCTAGTGGCTCTCATGTGACATACAAGAGAAGAGGAAACTAATTTTTTTCACTTACTTTCCTTGACTTCTACAGCTGTGCAAAGAGAAGGAGAATCTGCATGATGAGGTTTACTGCCAGGTGATCAAGCAGATCACTGAGAACCCAAATCCGTAAGCACAAGTTGCGTGTGTGAAGGTGGTAGCTCTGAAACTGAAGGAATAAGAGAACATACATTGGGAGGAGTAGGATGCAAGGGCAAAGTGTTACATAAGAGAGCTTCTACTAGAAAGGAGAGGTTGATGCTATCCTAACAGAAAAGTTCATGGAATTAAACTAAGGAGTGGACAGCTAGGTAGCTTGCATGTAAATTATTCTATTATATTTTTCGTGAAATATAAAAGGTGGGCTATTAGTTTTATATACGAAACCACTGGAAGAGGTCAGCCAACAGCTTGGGATATGATATCATTAGGATGCTGATGATACTCAACTCTATATTCCAGGCTGTAGGGAAGATGCTGCAAGTGTCCTGTCCTAGGTGCCTGTAAGGGTCTGGATGTGAGAGAACAGGCTGAAGGTGAACCAAATATGATGGAGTTGCTATTTATACATTGGGGATCTCTGTCAACACCAGAGCTATCTCCAATGAAGAAGCAGGTCCCAGTTTGGTTGTCCTTCTAGATTCGTGGCTGCTGCTTGAGCAGCAGGTGGAAGCTGCGGTTAGAGCAGCCTTTGCCCAGCTTCAGCTGGTATTCCAATTGTGGCTTTACCTGGTGCAAAGGGACCTGGTTACAGTAACTCATGCCCCCTTACAACCTAATTAGACTACAGGTAGTCCTTGTTTAGTGACCACAATTGGGACTGGCAACTCAGTCATTAAGTGAAGCAGTCACTTAGTGAAACTGTGACTGTGCTTATGATCTTACTTCAGCTGTCCTTTGCTTTACAGACCTGCAAAGGTGGTAATTGCAAGGACTGGTCCCAAAGTTACTTTATCATCACTGTTGTAACTGTAAACGAGGACTTGCTGTACCACAATGTGCTCTACATAAGGCTGTCTTTAAAGACTACTCAGAAGCTACAACAGGTCTAGAATGCAGCCACCCACTTGCTCACTGGCACTTAACACTGGGAGAACATAACACTGATTTTTCAGGCCTTGCATGGGTTGCTGATTGATTCCTAAGTACTATTTAGAGTGCTGGTTTTAACTTATAAACGCTCTTTATGGTTTAGCACCTGGGCACTTACAGGAATACCTCCTCCTGTTA